AAAAAAAAAAAAAAAAAAAAAAAAAAAAACAACAACAACAAAAAAAACGGTCTTGCTTCAAGGCTGCCCTTGAAGTCACAGAAATCTTCCTGCCTCAGCCTCCTCAGTGCTGAGATCGGCATGTGCCACCGCACCTGGCTTATTCACTCTTTTAAGGTCATCTTCTGTGAACTGAAAGCTATAACTCTTAAGTGCTGATCGGTTTGGAGCGATCCATTCATAGCTGTCTGTCTGTGCTGAGTGGTCTTCACAAATTTGAGCAGATTAATGATGGCAGCAGGTGTCACTCCAGGTATACGACTGGCAGCCCCGATCTAGGCATTAAAACCACAAGAGAAGCCATCAGTGCCTCATGTCAGACTAAATCTGTGCTCCTCATACCAATGTAGAGCAGTTCATAACACGTTTAGATTGTGAGGTGGTGTCTGCCTAAGTTGCCCAGTTTGGACCCTGGGCTGAGGTACAGTACTATACGCTTGGACCATGTTTAGCTGCTGCTGCCTCTTTTTTTTTTTTTTTTCTGAAGTATGGGGGACTGAACTCAGGACCTCGTGCTTGTGAGGCAGGCACCAGAGCCACAGAGCTAAATCCCTGGCTCTTTTCTTTTTTTTAAATATTAATATACATTTAAAAGAACCTTGCAAAGTAGATAAAGGAAATGTGACGCTTTGTGTCTTTGAGTCTGAGAGGTTGAAATGATTTATGCAAGATGACTGATAACTACTTTTTCTATCCATTAAAGTAAGAAAATCTGTAGTAGGATGCTGTTCTTCACATCCAGCCCCACGGTCCCTTGTCTGGAGTCCTGGAGGGCCTGAGTTTCTGAGATTAGGTCTAAGACCCTGTAGAAGGCACCCCACAATTCCAGTTCAGTAGTGTTGGTAGTGTTTTTACACAGATGTTTCGATACTTGGTGGCTTAAGACCAAACAGCCTCATGTCAGGCGAGGGTCGATTTTGCTATTAAATGAGTTTGTGGCAAACTTTTTCCTTTTTCTTTCAGTGCTGGGATACAACCTAGGTCCTCACACGTGACAGGCAAGTGCCCTACCACTTGCTTCATCCCCAGCCCCCAGGGCAAATTTCCAAGAGAGCCTTTTATCATTGCTGTTGTGGCTGAGGGGCTGTGATCGCCTAGCAGCTGTGCTTCAGCATTTACGCTGCGGTAATGCAGTGTCCAACATGGGAGCAATTAAATGACATGTGGCTCCAGGGCACTTGAAATGTGGCTTGTGAGACTAAAGAGATGACTTTTAAATTTTATTTAACTGTTATTAATGTAAAAGGCAGTGCAGCCAATGATTATTCAGAGAAAAATAACCTAAAGTCACATTACATTGGTGAAATCACTCCTCCAGGTAAAATACGTTTTGAAGCCAGGCCTGGTGGCCCACACCTGTAATCCCAGTTCTCAGGAGGCTGAGGCAGGAGGACTGTTACGAGTTTGAGGCCAGCCTGGGCTACACAGTGAGTCAGTGAGTTCAAGGCCAGCTTGAACTACAGAATGAGACCCTGTCTGTCTGTCTCTGTCTCTGTCTCTGTCTCTGTCTCTCTCTCTCTCTCTCTCTCTCTCTCTCTCTCTCTCTCTCTCACACACACACACACACACACACACACACACACACACACAAACACACGTTCTATCCTTCCCCTACCCCCAACTTGTTTACAGACCACATTTTAAGAGGTAAAATGTTCCTTTGTTTTATGTACCACTACTTAAAAATAAACTACTCAAGGGCTGGGTATTTAGCTCTGTGGTGCCGCTGTCTGCCTGCCTGCCTCTCAAGCACAAGGTCCTGAATGCAATCCCCAGTTCCAAAAAAAGCAAAACAAACAAACTGCCCATTATAAACTACATGTGATTAAATTTTATTTTCTGCAATCCGGGGCGGGGGGTGGGGGTTTCAACCTAGGGCTTGCTCTGCCACTGAACTACATTCTCAGACCTTATTTTTATTTTTGGGTCCTGGCGCTCGAACTCTGGACCTTGCACTTGTGAGGCAGGCAGTGGAACTACTAAGCTAAATCTCTGGCCCTTTATTTTATTTTTGAGATGGTCTTGCTAAGGTGCCGAGGTGGAGCTCAAACTTGCAAACTTGCAGATTGCCTTGGGCTCCCAAGTAACAGGAATTATTGGTGTGCACCACCACACCCAACTAATTTTTAAGCTATAATCCAGTCCTAGAGATGTCAAAATGTACACCTTAGCATCAGTACCTCAACCAAAAATTTTTTTTTTTTTTTTGTACCAGGGATCAGACTCTGGTCCTTGCGTGTGCAAGGCAGGCGGCAGAACTACTGAGCTAAATCCCCGGCCCTCAGGACCAATAAGTAAAGCCTCTTTTAACACATTTATTAGAATCCAATGCTATTTAGTAAAGTAGCTTTAAAAAGGCTTATGCCTCTAGCCCTAACATGCACAACGGGGCTGGAGCCCAGGGAGGGCAACTGGTCCCCTCCACGATGTGGACACTGGTCACGTGCGGCACAGCTGTTGGAGTCACACACGCACCCGTGGGCTTGCACTGGTGGCCTAGCGCAAAGGAACTGCAGTCAAACCAGTTCTTGGCTTCTAGGTGTTCATTTACACTAAGCTTTACCAGTTTCTACAGAGACCAGGCTCTGTCACACACAGATAAACCACATGGTTAAGATTTCTGTCTATTTGGAGACAGGATCTCACTATGTAGTCCAGGCCGGCTTTGAACTCATGTACCCATGCTAGCCACCCTCCTGCCTCAGCCTAAGTGCAGGGATCACAGGCGTGTGCCTCTGTACTGGCCTCAGAAACTTATGATTAAATAAAACATTAGTTTTATGGCCACCGTGTGCCCCACTGGCTCTTTATAAATCACTTGTTCCTCTAGCCCACTGCTTGCTCTCTTACCGTCCGTGGACGACTGAAATGCAGTTTCTCCCGAACTTCATCAGACAAAGACACATCCCTGAGACTCAGATAATCCAGGTCTTCAGGCAGCTGGAGAGCCTCATCTCGCTGCATGTCCTGTATTTCTTGTAGCTGACAGAGCAATATGGACTCATAAGAGGCTGGTGGACAAAATGAGAATCGGTATCACTCGCACTGTTCACAGAGACCTCTAGCATCAATCATCTCATGCAACACTCAGTTCATGACACAGGCGTCCTCTTCTGCAGACGAGGGAGCAGCCGGGTGTGGTGGCGCACGCCTGTGATCCCAGTACTCGGGAGGCTGAGGCAGGAGGATCGCTGTAATTTTGAGGCCAGTCTGGGCTACACAGTAAGTTCAAGGTCAGCCTGCACTACACAAAAGACTCAGTCTCCAAAAAAAAAAAAACCAAAGGGGGGGGGTGGTTTTTCTCAGATTTTGGTAGTGTGTGCTTCCATCAACTGATCAGCAGCCAGGAGGTCTCGTTCCAGACTGCGGCCCCACCAGTGACCCCACAGAGGGCTTCTGTCATCGCCCCGGGCCTCGGCATCTTCGTGCAGAGACTGCAGGTCTGCAGTGGATGATGCCCTTGGCCGCAGGCTGCAAGGTGAACTGCACAGGACACAGGCTTTGCAGAGGACCAACCTGGCGGTGCCGCTCAGCAGCTGTGTGACGTTACTGCCTACCTACGAAGTCAGCAAGACTGCGTCTGTCCTTCACAGGGCAGTTTTAAGTATCAACTGAAGCGTACACTAAAAGGAACTGTGTAGCACAGTAGTGTAACACGTCAGTGCAGCACATTAGCATTTTATGACTAGGAACAAAGCCTTCAGGGTATCAGGAATACGTGCCTATGCTGTAGATAGATTTACTTTATCTCAAGTATACATAGCAAAACAATCTGACATTTATGCTGCCTTCAGGTACACAGTGAGTTCAAGGCCAGCCTCAACTACATAGCAAGACCCTGTCTCAAAAACCCAAACAAAAACATAACAAAATCACCAAGAAAATAAACGTGGTTGAGAGAGCCAAGTATCGATTTGAAAACCAGCCCCCGTTTCATAGGCATGTGCCACAACGCCCAGCCTCCCTTTACAAAATTACTTCAATGGGTCTAAACTACCGAGGCTGAGCTTCAACTTATGGTATTCCTGCCTCAGCCTCCTAGTGCTCAGACTGCAGCAGTTCACCCCTGGGATTTGCTGCTATATTTATGTAAACTCTCATGGTGGATGGCAGGTAGCACTGGGTCCTCCTGTACATCTCCTGCAGAACTGAAAGAAATCATTCTCACCATCGTGGCTGGTATCACTATGTAGCCCGGGCTGGCCTGGAACGCACAGTGATGCACCTGCCTCAGCCTCCCGAATGCTGATATTAAAGGGAATTGCCACATGCCTGGCCCCGGCTGGTCTTCAGGAGCTTGAAGTAGCACACCACCACCCAGTGCTTCCTACCCCTCTCCCACGCCAGCCTGCCTTGTGTCTTCGTCATTACATGATTTTTCAGTCCAAGAAAAACATATCAATTTTTGCAGAAGCCATCTGGGTGCAGTAGTAGCCAATCTTATTCTCAGTATTTTTCTTTCTTTTAAATTCCTCATAACAAAAAACTTGAAATAGCAATATAAAAGAAAACAGCCGAGGATTTACCTCAGTGGTGCTGCTTTTCTGCCTCACAAGCACAAGGTCCTGAGTTCAATCCCGGGTACTGCCAAAAAAAAAAAAAAAAAAAAAAAACAAAACAAACCCCGGAAAAGCATGGCTCTGATGGTCACTAAACTGAGCGCTGCAGTAGCTGATACAGAATAAATCTGTCTGCTGGGGATTTAGCTCAGTGGTTTCACAAGCCTTTCAAGTGCAAGGTCCGAGTTCAATCCCCAGTACCAAAAAAAGAAAAAAAGTACAGAATAAACCTGTCAAAGGCAGACACCGAGATATGGTCAAAGCTGAAGCTAAGTTATCCAAGCACTTCCCAAGCCTATGGTGTGCAGTTACCGAAGGGTCTTGCCGAAATGCAGGTCCTCAGTGGTCTGTGGTAGAGCCTGACACATGCACTTCTGACACGCTTCCAGAACTGACACAGGGAACCTGATGTCATGCTGGTCCTGCAGGAACAATGTTTTCCCCTGGTGCTTTTTTTTTGGTACCGGGGATCACTCAGGACCTTGTGCTTTCTTTCTTGGGTACTGGGGATTGAACTCGGGTCCTTGTGCTTGCAAGGCAGGCAGCGGAACCACTGAGCTAAATCCCTGGCCCAGGACCTTGTGCTTTAGGGGCAGGTGGCAGCACCACTGAGCTAAATCTCTGGCCCTGTTTTTTTTTTTGAGATAGGATCTTGCCATGCAGTTCAGACTAGCCCTGAATGCAGCAGGCAGTCCAGGCTGGCCTTGAATTCTTGGTGATCCTCTTGACTCAGGTTCCCGAGTGCTGGGATCACAGGTATGCACCACCACGCTCAGTCCTTGGCACACAGCTCTTCTTTTGGGGGGATGGGCTGGTGTGCGGCGTGGAATTGAACTCAGGACCTTGCGCTTGCAAGGCAGGCGAGGTGCCACTGAGCTAAATCACGAGCCTGGGAGCCTGGCACACAGCTCTTAATGGTTTGGCTGTCGATTCATAATTTGCACAAACAGAAGCAAGAGCATATAGGATGCTTAAACAAAAACTGTTTCTACCTTCTATTTTCAGTCTCTCAGCCAGCTCTCTACATTCAGTGTACTTCTTCAAGGCTTCTGGAAAAGCCTTGGCCAATAACTCCATGTCAACTTCCTCGTACTTCAGAACATCGAGAGCTCTGTAAATACACAGAGGCTTCGTTAGCAGTAAAGGATCCACTTTACATTATGGCAGCGTAAGAATAAGCTTCTTTGGAATAATCCAATCTCAGAATAAATAACCAAGACACCTCACTTCCCAGTAATGAGCAGATGCAGCACCATCTGCAAAACAGTACGACTTCGAAATAGTCACTATTTGATTTCCCTCCATCTGTCGTGAGAATTGATAGGGGTTGTGTGGTTCGATTCCATTTGTTCTCCCTTCCGTGTGAGGACAGAAGAGTGATCTTTTGTACGCTGGGAACCGTACAGGAGGTCTCTTGCTTTATTTTTAAGCAGTACTAGAGATTGTTGGCCTTCCCACTGAGTACATCTCTAGCAGCCTTTTTATATTTTTTTTCTTTTCCCGGACAGGGTGTTGCTGTGTACTTCAGCCTGGACTTGAAGAGGTAATTCTCTTGCCTCAGCCTCTGCAGTGCGGGGATGACAGGCATGTACCATGACACCTAGCTACATTCTTTATTTTTCGGACTGTTTTCTGACAGGATCTAAGTTTGAAAGTTACCTGGGCTGGACTTGAACTTGTGATCCTCCTGCCTCAGTTTCCCAGAGAACTGGGATGACAGGTGTTTACCATGCCCAGCTCTCCTGCTTTTTAAAAATTTTTTTGGTTTTTTGAGACAAGGTCTAACTATGTAGTTGAGACTGACCTGGAACTCACTATGTAGCCCAGGTCTTCAACTCACAGCGATCCTCCTGCCTCAGCCTCCCGAGTGCTGGGATTACAGGTGTACACCACCACTTCCAGCTTCTCCTACTTTTTTGACAGAACTCCATCAGGAAGAATAAGAGGATACAGTGAACACATTTTAAGCCTCTGGAAAAAAAACTGGTCAAAACGATATATGAGTTAAAAGGATTTTTCCAGTCTGATTTTTCTTCTAATCTGGAATAATCTGTTTCAGTTTTTACCACATGGGAACTTCTGACAGTTCCCTTTTATTTCTACCCCTCACCCTGGTTGGGCTCAAGCCTCCTGGATGAAAGCAAGGCGATAGGACAATGCACACATGCAGCGAATCAGAAAAATCGCTAAAATTGACACGCGGTCCACACAGGTCGCCAAGAGAACGCTCCTGAGGGCTGATGCCGTGGCAGAGCAGGGACTCTGAGAGCAGACTGGCAACAGGACGCCTGCTACTGATCAGGTCTTCCCTTGCCTGCCTCCAACCCGTTTGACCCCAGGTGCCACTCTAACTAGGACACTTCTCGCTGTTAATTATTACTTCATTTACATGTGGCTTTTTCAGGTAGTAATTCTTTAAAAGGTATTGGGTGGGGGAGTATTGCCAATAGTGTTTTTTGCAGAAACAGAACATTTCATCCTGAAATTCACACGGAACATCAAGGACCCTAAATGGCCAAAACAATTCTGGAAAAAGAAAACAGTCTGCCGGGGACGGTGGTCTGCCTATAATGCCAGCTCTCGGCAGGCCAGGTTAGAAGGATCACAAGCTTGAGCCCAGCCTGGGTATGTAGTGCACACAAGGCCAGCCTGGAGTTTCAACTCTCCTCAAAACAAATCAAAACATGGTTAAAGGACTCACACTTTCTGATTTGAAAATATATTATTAAGCTACTACAGTCACAACAGCGATCACATAGGGATAGAAATGCAGTATGTATGTTAAAAATTATTAAAGGACATATTGCTATTAATCCCTCAAAAGCTGGGGTGTGTTTCAGAGATATAGACTTGCCTAGCAGGCATGACTGCCCCAGCACTAAAAAAAAACCACCAAACCCTCAAAATATTCTCCCTCGCGCTGGACACACTGTCCATTGCTCTTGCCACTCTGTGAAACAGTTCTGGAAGCCCCCTTCTGTGAATTTCTCTAGTTGTGTTGTGGCTGCCTCAATGTCTTGACTCAGTATAAACTGTTTACTTTTCATAGGCATTTTGCCTTTAAGGAAGAGCCAGAAGTTACCACAGTGCCAGATTTGGTGCCGGGAGTGGTGGCGCACGCCTGTAATCCCAGCACTTGGGAGGCTGAGGCAGGAGGATCACTGTGAGTTTGAGACCAGCCTGGGCTACACAGTGAGTTCCAGGTCAGTCTCACTACACAGTGAGAACCTGTCTCAAAAACAACAACAACAACAACAGATTTGGTATGTGAGGCGGATGGGAAAGCACTGTATGTTTTCATGAGCCTGCCTTCGGTTGGATGGAACTCGGCAGCAGCATTCACTGTATTCTTGATCACAGGCTATAAAGACATGAAAGAAAACTTCCTGAAGTGCTTCAGAAAGTGGCAAGAACCATGGGATGAGTGTGTTTACAATGAAGGGTACAGTTCTTAAGGAGATGAATGACAATGTGTCTTTTACTGCGATGAATTTTTACATTTACATACAAACTAATTTCTGCTAAGTGTGTACCACCCCCAATAGAACAGGAGCTAAGAAACACTGTCGAGATCAAATGATCCTCCCAAGGCAACATGGGAAAACAATAAGCCTCTGCAATAAATGATGCTGGGAATGATGGATATCCACACTGCACACGAAAAGTCATGCAAAATGGACTGAAGGCCTAAATAGAAGGGCTGGGACTTAGCTAAGTGGCAGTGTGTGTGCCTGCCTCTCAAGTGCAAGGTCCTGAGTTTGATCCCCGGTACCAAAAACAAGCAAGCAAACAAAAAAGAGCAAGACCTAAATATAAGATCCCAAATCATACAATTCCAGGAAGAAAACATACAAGTTTGACACTGGATTTGAAAACTATTATTTCTCTGGTGCTGAGGACTGAATCCAAGGCGCTACCCGCTAAGCATGTGCTCTGCCACTGAGCTACATCCAGCCCCCATCAAACTTTATAGTGCATTTGAAGGCAGGTGTGGTGGCACAAGCCTGTAATCCTCACACTGTGGACAGCTGAGGCAGGAGGACTGAGTCTGAGCAGCTCAGTGAGATCCTGTCTCCAAATAAAAAATGGGTCTGGGGCTCAGTGGGAAGGCCCTGGGTTAAATCCTTAGCACTGCAAAGTAAGAAGAAAAACAGGACCAGGGATTTGGCTCAGTGGCAGCGCTTCTGCCTTGCAAGGGCAAGGTCCTGTGTTCGATCCCTGGTACCAAAAACAAAAAACATACACACACAGAACACTAGTCACATTCAATGCAAATACCACTGAGAAATTTTTGAAATGAATAATTGATAAAAATAAAGTTTCCTGTTACAATTCTTTGTCCAGGGAACAGACATAGGTCAGTGACACAGTGCTTCCCCATCACTGACAAAAACAAACCAAAACAAAAGCCAAAAAACTTTGCTCAGTTTTTCAAATAACGTGAAGCCTTGTAAATCCAAGCAAATGGGAAACAGCCGAAGGATGGACTGCTGTTTCCTAGTGCCAATTGCAGCTGAGCTACGGCTTGAGTGTTCCCATGAGGGCAGCATGGTCCCCAGCGTGGCCATGCAGAGGGGGTAGAACCTCCAGGAGGCCGGCAGGTCCCCCGGGTGCTGGTCCGCAGCAGGGATCGGTGCTGCTCTCATGAGTGCGAGTGCTGTAAGAAGTGTGTACCTGCGCCCCCGTACCTGATGCCATCCACCATGATACCCTCACCGGCAGCCAGAGATGGGGCTGCCCACCCGCAGACTCGTGGCACCCAAACAGTGAGCCAGGTACATGCTTTCCTGATTAAGTCCCCAGCCTTAGCATTTTATTACAGCAACAAAACTGACTAATGTAGCCAGTCAGCATATGCGTCACTGCTATGATCCGCACTGGATTCTGGCCTCAATTCCTACAGTGGAACCTAAAATCCAATGTGACGTTTCTAAGCGGTGGCCGGCCCTAATGAGTGGGACTGGTGCTTCACACAGAGGCTTGAAGGGGCCTGCTGTGGCTTCTGCCACGCAAGGGTGCAGAAAGAAGTTGCCACTGTGGAAACAAAGAGGATTCCCTCAGCAGACATCAAATCTGCTGGAGCCAGAGCTTGGGCTTTTCTCTCTCCAGAACTGTGAACAATCAACTCGCTATTCATAAATTACACAGCTGGCAGGTGTGGGGGCACATGCCTACAGTCCCAGCACTTGTGAGGCTGAGGAAGGAGGACTGCTGTAAATCTGAGGCCAGCCTGAACCACATAGTGAGACTGTCTCAAGAAACCAAAAAAACAAGGCCAGGGATTTAGCTCAGTGGTGCCATCACCTGTCTTGCAAGTGCAAGGACCCGAGTTCAATTTCCGGTACCAAAAAAAAATCTCCCAAAACAAAAAGACCCCCAAAATTAAACTACATAGTCAATGGTTTTCTTGTTTTGGGGCTTTCTGTTTGTTTCTGTGGTGCAGGAGATCAAATGCGGAGCAGTGTGTCGTGTGTCCTAGCCAGGTCCTCTCTGGGTATGGTGGCCTGAATAGACATTGTGCAACGTCCTTAGAATGTACCTCTGAGTCCTTCAGATTCAGAGTTCACATAACTGGAATGACAACAAGGGCGGCACAGTACCTGAAGTGGGCCAAGGGCCTTTTCACCTAAATTCAAAGGGTTTTCCTTGCATTAGCTCATGGACAAGACGAGATTATACAGTTGCTCCAAGCCTACTTAAAAGAGAACAGATACTTCTTAGTTTGTGTCTTTTAAATCTTTTTTTTTTTTTTGGTACCAGGGATCGAACTCGGTCCTTGCGCTTGTGAGGCAGGCGGCAGAACCACTGAGCCAAATCCCTGGCCTGGGTCTTTTAAATCTTAAGAAAACCAAAAAGGACTCAGGAAAGAGCCCCAAAGAAAATATATAGAAAATGAAAATAATTTAATATATGATTCTAAAACGTATGTATGTGCTGGGTGTGGTGGCACACATCTATAATCCCAGCACTTGGGACGCTGAGGCAGGAAGATTGCTGCGAGTATGAGGCCATACTACATAGTGAGTTCAAGCCCAGCTTGATCTAAACATCAAGACCCTATCTCCAAAAAGTGACAAACAAAACAAAACAAACCCCAGAAAACAAAATACCCCCATCAACAAAAAAATACCCTATGTGTGCTTATATATTACATGCTGTGCATGTGCTCTACCACTGAGATGTACCACAGCCATATATATTTTCAATACTTAAAAAACAGGTGAGTTGGGCCGTGGATGTAGCTCAGTGGCACCGCACCTGCCTGGCAAGCGCAATGTCCTGAGTTAGATCCCCGGGACTGAAAAAAACAAAAAAGGTGAATTATATCTAAAGCATTCTGAAAAGAAGCCAACAGTGAGTAACAGTTCACTTAAAATGTGTAGGTAGGGAGTCGGTAGCTGAGGTCCCCTGAAATAATATAACTCTTCCTCAAAAGGTGAGCCTACATTAAAAATACACACCTGACAGGGAGACTTCTACTGGTACTTATAGAAGCCTGAGGGATTAACTTTTTCCACTTCGAGCTTGAAAACTCAATGGATTTCAACACAGAAATGCCTTCTTCTAAGGAGGACTTCATCCAGGCCGCTCTGTCATACCGCTGCTGGGACACACAGCCAGCTTCCTCGTAGCCTGGAAAAGCAGAGCACATGGGGAAGTGAGAGGGGTCTGAATGAGGAGAAAGCCAGGCAGCAGGAGCCAGGAGTCACCTCGGAACGTGAGCCGGTCGTCGGCGTTATCCGGGCGCAGGGACAAGCGGAACTCGGCGCGGCTGGTGAACATGCGGTAGGGTTCGCTGGTGCCCTGGGTGGTGAGGTCATCAATCATGACACCCATGTAGCCTTCCGTACGGCTGACAACGAAGGGCGGCTTGCGACTGACCCGAAGGCTGGCGTTGACTCCGGCTATCACACCCTGCAAGAGGACTGGAATGGTTAAGACGCCATTATGAGCTGAGCAATGTGTCACCGTCTTAGCTGGAACACAGTGGACAGGGCGGCAAGAGACAGGAGGAAAGTGAGCCAGAAAGCGGGCTCCACATTCGGAAAGAACAGGGCAGTGTCGCATTTCGGCATGCTACGATTCACTGATCTCACGAACAGCTAACAGTTCCTAAAAGCCAGGGAGGTGGTTCATCTTTTATCTAACACTCGCCTGTGAGATGCTTTAGCATTCTTTCACTTACAAATAAAATCAATTTCTTATTTATAAAGAATAACAATGATAGTTTAGCAGTTACGTTAAAAAAACTAAAATGTCTTTAGAAACTGCAGAAGCAACATGATAAATCTAATTAAAATACGGTGTCAGGCTGGACAGTGGCTTACATCTATAATCCCAGAAGTAAGGAAAGCTAAGGCAGAAGGATTACACTTTTTTTTTTTGAGACAGGGTCTCACTATGTAGTTGAGACTGACCTGGAACTCACTATGTAGCCCAGGCTGGTCTCGAACTCACAGCGATCCTCCTGCCTCAGCCCCCTGAGTGCTGGGATTACAGGCGTGTGCCACCACGCCCGGCCTAAAGCAGAAGGATTACAAACTGAAGCCCAGCCTGGGCAATTCAGTGAGTTAGCAAGCCTGTTTCAGTCAATCAATCAATCAGGCAATCAATCAGTCACAGGGCTGAGAATGTAGCTCAGTGGCACAGGCTCCTGTTTGATCCCCAGGACTGAAAAAAATTTTAAAAAGATGTCAGTTCTAGAAGTTCAGAAAAGAGTAATAAAGCTAGAAGTAGTTGGGTATGGTGGTACACACCTGTACTCTAGGAGGCTGAGGCTGGAGGATTGCAAGTGAAAGCCCAACCCCGGCAGCTCTGTCAGACGTTCTCAAAAGAAAAAAGATCTGCAGTGCAGGTTTGAGTAAAGGCCCTGGGTTCAACCCCAGCATGAGCACGAGCACGAGCCCCCACAAAACAACAAAGGCCATGTGGTTACTAATCAGCAGCCAGGAGGAGAGGAGCCCCAGCCACGCAGTCCCCTCTGGTGGACGGCACCACCCAAACACTCTACCTGAGCTGCGGCTTCCTCATAACCAGTGGTGCCGTTGATCTGTCCCGCAAAGAAGAGCCTCTGAACCGAGTGGGTCTCCAGGGAAGGCGTGATCTGCCGGGGATCTAAGTAATCGTACTGAACACCATACCCTGACCAAGGAATAAACAGCACAGAGTACGTGAAAACAAATGGACTTCCCAAGACAGAGAAGCAGATCACCATTAAGTGCCCTTGAAAATGCTGGTTCCTCTTCTGAGGCCCCGAACCCCACAGAGTGGCTAAGACGCCCTGCCTGAGTGATGCCAAGCTGATGTGGAAGGGAGGGCGGCCGCGCTCTTACCTGGCTGCACCATTTTCGCCTTCTCCAGGCCTCGGATGCACGCGATCATCTTCTGCTGCAGCTCAGCTGGCAGCGTCACAGATAACCCCTGGGGGTAGATGAGGTCAGAATCCATTCCTTCAGGTTCCAACCAAACCTGATGGGCGCGGTTTGGAAAACGCAAAACCTTCGATTCAATGGACGGACAGTATCTAGAGGAAGACATTGAAGAAAGAACAAAATGAACAAAGAGGCTGACGTCGCTGCTTGCAGTGACCGAACACTGACCGCCTTGCCCTCACCGGGGTCCACTGGCCGTTTCCTTCACGTGGCTGTTGAGGTGAAGGTTCTCCAGGATGATGGCGTCCACTCTGGGGCTGGTGTGAGTCAGGTGACAGGGCAGCTGATCTTCTGGCTGAAAACGGCAACCAGAGCCACAGACTGTACTGTTTTGCTTCTCCACTCGTTGCCCCTTATCCAAGTCCATCCCACGCGATCTTTAATAGACTTTTGCAGTGTCCAGTGCTACTCAGGAAGCTTTCTTGCCAAAAATAACCCCAAAGATGAATCTCAACGTAAGCAGGCCCAGATCTAACCACCAGTCTAGAGGAAAGAGGTTCGTGGCACCAGAAGCCTGCGAAAGGACAGGCTGCAGGACGCAGTTTGGAAAACGCAAAACCTTCAAACAAATACCTCAATTTCTTCCATGTATAAATGTTAGAAAGAAAATAGGAAAATGGTCAAAAATATACCCCCCCACAGACCTTATTTGGCTCCTGATCCAAATAAAACAACTATAAACATTGTTTCTGAGCAGGGTATGGTGGCACATGCCTGTAACCCTAGATACCTGGGAAGCTGAGGCAGGAAGATTGCAAGTTTGAGTCCTTCCTGGGAAAATTAGCGAGATCTTATTGCAAAATAAAATTAAGAGGGCTGGGGATATAGCTCAGTGGTAGAGAGCCTGCCTAGCGTAAGGCCTTGGGGTCAATCCTCAGTATCACCAAATTAATGAAGGAATGAACGAATGAGGCAGTTAGGGAAAACAGAACACTGAACACTAGATGGTGTTAAGAAACGTTTTGTTGGGTGTGATGCGGTGTGGCTTTTCAAACAAGTCCTTTATATACCAAAGTACAAGTGAAATGACGTGATACGTGAAATTACTGCTTTAACACTCAGCAAGGAATAAAACACGAATAACAAAATGTTATTGTTTTCTTTTGCATTTTTTAGGCGGCTTTGATTTTATTTTCGGTACCACAAATTGAACTTAGGGCCTTGTGCTTACCAGGCAGGGAACTATGCCACTGAGCTATATCCCTGACTCCATTTACTGATTTTTTTTTTTTTTTTTTGGAGACAGGGTCTCACTGTGCAGTTCAGGCTGGTTTTGAACTCACAGACTCCTGAGTGAGGGATTACAGGTGTGGACTACCATGCCTGGCTCTAAAATGTTGTTAAAGCTAAGTGAAAGATATACAGATTCACTAGGCTATTTCCTTACTTTGTGTCAAATTGTATCAGATACACACTTAGCCAGGCCTGGTGGCACATGCCTATGATCCTAGCACTTGAGAGGCTGAGGCAGGAGGATCACCACAAGTTCAAAGTCGATTAAACTACAGGGGGAAACCCTGTCTCAAAAACAAAACAAAACAAAATGGGCCACGGATGTGGTGGCACAGGCTCGTAACCCTAGCACTAGGGAGACTGAGGTAAGAAGATCTCTGTGTGTTCAAGGCCAGCCTGAATTACCAAGCCAGACTCTGTCTCAAAAAAACAGAACAGAACAAAACCAAAGTGAATCACCAGGTATTTACCATTAATAAGTAACATTCAAGTCTAAACAAATGCTGAAGTATGCCTTGTAGCTAACAAAGGGGATGTAGCTCAGTAACACTACACCTGCCCAGCAAGGGCAAGGTCCTGAGTTAATTCCCAGTACTGGAAGAAAAACAAAAACAAAAACAACAACACTGAAAAAGGGAAACTGGGTGTGGGTGGTGCATGGCGTAGTCCCAGCTCTGCAGCAGAGGCAGGAGGATCACAGTCAGTTCAGGCCTGAACTACTTAAGACCCTGTTCAACAAAAACAACCCCCGCAAGAAAACAAAAACTCTCCTAAAAAGCAAGGCAAACTGAAGAACTATTCCACAACGAGGGAGGGGTTGGCCAGGCACATCAGACAGTACTGGAATAACCAGCAACATCAGACTAGGGCTCTTACATTAGATAACAAGCATTACATCGGTGTTAAATGCCCTACCGTACTGAGGGTATATGATATGTTTTTGTGTGTAGCTGAGCTACAGACCAAAGTATTGAAAGGTAAAGCCTCAAGATCCCTGCAACCTCCTCTCAAGCACTCCAGAGAAAAAGTACATGTTTTCCTATTTCTTGGCTGGGGGGTGGGGACGGTGAGACAGAGTCTTGCTCTGTAGTCCAGGCTGGCCTGGAATTTGCTATATTCTCTACCTGGCTTATATTATTATTCACACATTAGTATCTGTATCTATATACATACATGGAGGTAAACATGGTAAAATACTGAAAACGGGCAACTTGCAGTGGTTCATAGGAATTAAAAAAACCATTTTTTTAAGGAATCTGTTTTAATAGCCTTACACTTTTTCTGTATATCTAAAATTATTTTAAAAATTGATAACGTGAAGCTGGGAGCAGTGGTGCAGCCTGGAATCCTAGAACCTGGGAGGCTGAGGCATGAGGATCTGGAATTTGAGGCAGACCCTGTCTCAAAAAATTAAAAAAGAAGGTTGGGGATTTAGCTCAGTGTTTCCACTGCCTGCCTTGCAAGCTCAAGGTCCCGAGTTTGATCCCCAGTACCAATAAAATAAAATAAAATGAAATAAAATAAATAGAGGCTGGACATGGTGGCGCACAGCTGTAATTCCAGCACTTGGGAGGCTGAGGCAGGAGGATTACTGCAAGGTAGAAGCCAACCTTGACTACACAGTGCATTCAAAGGTAGCCTGAACTACATAGTGAGACCCTGTCTCAATCCCTGTCTAAAAAAAAAAAAAAAAAAAAAAAAAAAAAAAAAAAAAGTAAAGTAACAATTAGATAGGCAAACATCCAAGAGGCCAAATTAGCTAGCATTTTTAAAGATCACTTCCTTACACCCCAAGTAATAACAAAAACTGCCAAAAAGAGAAATGGTTACACTACCTCCCACTGTGAATAGCCAATACAGACTATGAAGCCAGTCTTTACAAACCACTCACCCTAATCCACACTGTCTCATTGACAAAGCTGAATGGTACAGATGGGTCATCAGGCGTCTGCTTGTTTAGAATGCTGAAATCAATGGATTCCTTGGCAATTCGGGGCGGAGTGCCAGTTTTCAACCTTCCCACTGTGAACCCCAACTTCTCCAGAGTCTGAGCCAACCCTACGGAAGGTTGATCCCCCAGACGCCCTGCGGGGTGCGTTTCCAGTCCAATCACAACTGTGCCTCTCAGAAACGTCCCAGTGGTCAGGATCACACACTCTGCATGGACTGCACTTCCGTCCACTAAATGGTGAGAAGGAAATAAAAATGTTTTCTAATTATCACAGAGCCAATGGAATGTGAAAGTTTTACACTGGGCTACAGCAAAACTTTCTGTCTTTAGAAACTTGAAAATCTATTCTTTTTTTTTTTTTTTTTTTTTTGGCTTTTTGAGACAGGGTCTCACTGTGTAGTTGAGACTGACCTGGAACTTACTATGTAGCCCAGGCTGGTCTTGAACTCACAGCAATCCTCCTGCCTCAGCCTCCCAAGTGCTGGGATTACAGGCGTGCGCCACCATGCCCAGCTCTGAAAATCTATTTTTTTTGGTACTGGGGAATGAACTCAGGTCCTTGCGCTTGCAAGGCAGGCCACCGAACCGCTGAGCTAAATCCCCGGCCCCCAATCTATTCTTAATGTACAACATGCCAGGTATGCTGGCACGTGCCTACAATAAAGATCAAAGCAGAAATTAATGAAATTGAGACTAAAAAAATAATACAAAGACTCAAATGAAAGAGCTGGTCCTTTGAAAGAATAAAGAAAACAGACAAATCCATAGTCAATCTTACCAAAAAAAGGGAAAGGTAAGATTCATGTCAGTGCAATTAGAATCAAACAAGGTGAAATCACAATGGACACTACTAAAATCCAGAAGTTTACTAGTAACTACCTCAAAAACCCAATAAATTGGAAACAAAACAAAACAAAAAACCCAATAAATTGGAGACTCTAGAAGAACTACATAGATACATATGAATTACCAACACTGACCTAAAAAGCTGTAACTACCCTGAATAATCCAAAATCAGGCAATGGAATTGAGGAATAAAAATCCTACTTGAGGGCCAGGGATTTAGCTCAATGGTTCTACCACCTGCCTCATAAGCACAAGGACTCAAGTTCTATCCCCAGTACCAAAAACAAACAAACAAACCCCTACCTGATATAAAAATTCAATACCTGATGGATTCACTAATGAATCCTACAAAAACTTCAGGGAAGATCAAAGACCAAATCTCCTCAAATTCTTTAATGAGATTCAGAGGGAAGGAGTACTGCCAAACTCATTCGTGGGACATTATTCTGATACCAAAACTGGATAAAGATTCAACTAAAAAAGAAAACTACACAAAAAGAAAGCCTCAACAAGATACTGTTGAACAGAATACCACAAATCATCAAAAATATTCTACACTGCTGGTCATGGTAAGACACCTAATCTCAGCACTGGGGAAGCTGAGGCAAGAGGATCACTGTGAGTTTGAGGCCACTGTGAACTAGACAGCAAGACCATGTTTCAAAAGAATAAAAAGCAAATCAAAAGTAATACATCACGTAAACAGAAGGACAAAATTCACACGATCACCTCAAAAGATGCAAAAAAAGCCACTAACAAAATCTAACATTCATTAAAGAAAAAAAAAAAAAAACCTGTGAAGAAAATAGGTACAGAAGGCCAGATGTGGTGGTGCACACCTGTAATTCCAGCACTTGGGAGGCTGAGGCAGAAGGACAGCCATGAGTTCGAGGCCAGCCTAGACTACATAGTGAGACTTTGTCTCAAAAAACCCAATCTAGGGGATTAAGCTCAGTGGTTCCACCTCCTGCTTTTCAAGGGCAAGGTCCCCAGTTCAATCTCCAGTAGCAACAAAACAAAACAAAACTAAAAACCCCAAAAGAAAAAAACCAAATCCAACCCAAAACAAAACAAAACAAAAAAGCCAAACAACAAAAAAAAAAGAGAAAGAAAATAGGTTAGAAGGACCTTATCTCAATCTGATAAAAGCCATTTATAACAAACTTTCTATCAACACCATATGAAAAGGGAAAAACTGAAAGCTTTTCTTCTAAAATCAGGAACAAGACAAGGATACCCACTATCATCCCTCCTGTTCAATACAGTACTTGAAACTTTTTTTTAATTAAAAACATTTTTTTTTTCCACACAGGTTCTTGTTTTGCTAAACAATCCTACAATTCATATGGCAAAAGCAGTCCTGGGCAACAAAGGCAAAAGCAGGAGGCATCACAATCCTGGATTTCAAGTTATATTATAAAGCTACAGTGATTAAAGACAGCACAGTACTGGTACAAAAAAAAACATGGGTCAATGGACCACAAAGAAGACGCCTCTGACCAGACATCCGAAGATAACTGAAGTAAGCTGTGAATATGAAACAGCACAAAGAAAGAAATCTGGAGAAAATACTGAGATAACAGAAACATGTTTTTAAAAAAACATCAACCCTTATCACTAAATTGGCATGGTGGCACACACCTAGATTCCCAGGACTCAGGAGGCTGAGACAGAAGGACTGCTCTGCCACCCTGGGCTACATAGTAAGACCCTGACTCTAAAACCAAGCAACCAAACAAACCAACACATCTGTTATTAAAATTCTTATATAGATTAGGTAAGACAGCAGATTTACAAAGCAAGAGTAAGATGCTAAGAAAAAAAATCAGGAAAATGGAAAGACTAGTTATAAATGAAAATGACACATTTTCAAAAAATTCATTAGCATGTCTTGAGCAGCTCTCCTCTGTGATGCCCCCTGCCATGCCATCCTGCTTTGGAGCCAGCCAACTATGGACTGAAAACTCTATGAACTCCGAGCCAAATAAACCTTCCCAGCTTTACTTGTGGGTGTTGAGTATTGTGCCTCAAGGAAGCGAATGTGACTAAAGCAGATTTTGGTACCAAAGAAGGGTGGTTACTGTGCATGTACATGGAGCCTTTGGAGTCTGCAAAGGTTTATCGCTGTTGGCTAGAGAAGGCTTAGAATGCTGGAAACCAACCTCGATGAAAGAGTCTGGTCAGAGTTCAGAAAACCAGAATGCTACTAAAAAAACAGATAGAAAAGACCAGGCTCAGGAGGCTTCCACTGGTAAGAGGGACTGCATTGGCAGCTGGACTCCACACCCTGTGGGTTATTCTTTGGCACAAAATTTGTCTGCATTTTGCTTGTGTGCAGATACTTCGCCCGAGACTGAGGTTAAGGAGGATGGACTAATCTTGTAGAAGGAATTTCAAGGCAGTTGAGGTGGTGGCAGGGCTACTCCTGGGGGCTTTCAGCCAGATCTATGTTGAAAATCAAGAGCAAAGAACCCAGCAGGATGATTTTTGAATTTGGTGAGAAAGGAACCTCTAGTAAAATTGCAGCCTTCACAGATAGAACAGAGAAGAAATTGGTCACTGAAAAAAGCCACAAAAAGCTAAGTATTTCAGAAGAGGGCAATAGAAAAGATAACTTGAAGACATCACAAGAATTAGCAGGACTCCACTCTGCAGCCTGAAAACTGTAAAGGTGAAAGGCTACTTTGGGAAGGGAGCCCAGAGCACCATGTCCTGGAATGCTGTGGCCTAGAGAGTGCGTTCCTCAGGACTGGATTCAGAGAACTCAGCAGTCTAAGCACTCGACTCCTACAGCCAAGAGAGACCACGCCTGGCTGTTGGTCCAGCTGGCAGCACACGCCGCTGTCATCCTTACCATGCTGGTTTTAGGTGCAGGCAGAATGCAAGAGCCTTGGGGTCAGAACGGCTCCCACCCAGATTTCAGAAGGTGGCCTTCGAGGCCAGGCAGGGCATGAAGCTGAGTGTGAAGCCGAAGGTGCAGTGGGGAAGCCACAAATGTGGACTGTCTAAGGAAGGTTGCAAGGAGGGAGCACAGCTGGCCTGAGAAAAATCCCTGAGAGCTGCAACCACCCAGTGCGGAAGGGGCGGAGCAACCCGAGCCCTCCGGATTTCACATCTTGCCCCAGATTGCCTTGGCTGCTGCACATGGAACTGTGGGACTGAGTGTGTGCCCTGCTGGATTTTGGTCTTGCTTTATCCCCATTCCTATTTCTCTTTTTGTACCTTTTGAAATGGACATGACTACCTTGTGCCATTTTATGTTAGAAGTATTTTTCATATTTTTTCAACAGGGGCTCCCAGCTAATAGTTTGCTTTAAATCTCAAAAGACTTTGGACTTGGACTTTTCAGCATTTAGTACTTCTGCAACTCTCAGAGATAAACTAAATGCCTTTGCATAAAGGGATGTACATGAGTCTTTGGGAGGCCAGGGGCGGAGTGTTATGGCTTGTGTTTGGATGTCCCCCAAAACCTCACATGGAGGTGGCTGGATCTAGGGTGCCCAATCCTGGGTATGGTCAACACTGCGCAAAGGGCAGGTTCTCCCAGATGGAATATAAAGGCAGCTGCGGCTGTTGCTGCTACTTTGCTTCCTGCTTGCCATACCGTTTCTCTTGTGACGCCTCCCTACCGCGCCACCCTGCCTTGGAACCAGCCTGGACTGAAACCTCTACCAACTGTGAGCCAAAGAAAACTCCTCCTTTAACTCTGGGTGTCGGGCATTTTGTGCCAGCAATGAGAAAAGTAACCAAGACAGCCTCGTTGGTTTCTATCCCCTTTTGGAATGGGACTGTGTTCCCCATGCCTCTGTATGTCGGCAGTGTTTAATCTTCTTTTTGAAGCTGTTATCAGCACGCGTATCAGTACATACCCAAAACAACACCACTGACACGGCACTTCCCAGGGTGTCCGTGCTCTGGCTCCGAGAGAATAAGATCTTCTACAGCTCCTTCCTGAACAGTGAGCAGTGGCGTATTCAGGATTTCTTTCTGTCAAGACAATGCTGGCTGAAACACGGCTGTTAAAAGATCACTGCGATCTTTCCTGTTCTCGTGACCTGTTCTTACCTGCATGTTTTGTTTATAGAGTTTCCTATCGATTTGGGCTCGCAGCCCCCACACAGCTGGCCCCTTACGCCGATTTAGTACTTTGTAATGCACACCAGACTGGTCACAGATGCGAGCACACAGGCCATCCAAGGCATCTACTTCCCTCATTAAGTGTCCTTTTCCAATGCCACCAAAAGAAGGATTACAGGACATCTGACCTGAAGAGAACAGACATAAAGTAAATGTATGAGGGCTGGGGATTTAGCTCAGTGGTTCCACTGCCTAACTCGCAAGCACAAGGACCTGAGTTCGATCCCTGGTACCAAAAAAAAAAAAAGTATGAGCATCATACATAGTGTTCAGTAAGGAAATGTTCATACAGGTGAAAATCATCTTACTATATGAAAAAAACCTAGAAACATACACCATAAAGAAAATCCCAAGGTGGTCCAGAGTGTCTCTACTATGCCAATTGATCCTCCCACTCTGCCTACCTGCCTCCCTTCCTTTGCAGTACTGGGGCTTGAGTTCAGGGTCTTTGCACTGACCTACATCCATCCTTTTTAAAATGTTTTATTTTGATTTGGTTTTTTTTTTTGAGACAGGGTCTCACTATGCATTTGAGACTGACCTCGAACTCACAGCAATCCTCCTGCCTCAGCCTCCCGAGTGCTGGGATCACAGGCGTGCACCACCATGTCCGGCTTTATTTTGAGACAGGGTCTTGCTAAGTCATTGAGTTGCCCAGGCTGGGCTTGAATTTGTGATTCTCCCGTCTTGGGGTCCTACAGCATGGGATTACAGGTGTGTGCCACCAACCTGGCCCTGATCTTTCTTCTGAATCTTTTACTTAATGCATATGTTTTTACTGTTTCATTAGGTTGCCTTTTCCTTTGAAACACCGAATTTCTGGGAAATGAACCCAGGGCACTGTACTACTGAGCTGCACCCTCAGCCCCTTTTACTTTTTATTTTGAGACAGAGCTTAATTAAGTTGCCCAGCATGGTCTTGAGCTTGTAATCATCCCACCTCAGCTTCCTGAGTAGCTGGGGCTACAGATGGGCACCAACACATTGAGCTTCGAGCAAAATTTGTGAAGTCCGTTGGTAGTGGTCATCAAATATGCCTCATAATGCCACTTTTAAAAAATTTTTGCTCTTACTTTGTAGACATAATTAAGTTATACACTTCTTGAAAGTAAAGATAATATTTTACCTTTACCTTTAAATTGACACAGTCTTATTTGGAAGTCTAAACCTATGTGGTTGCCTCAAAGATTCTTCTGGGAGATGGATGGATGGGAAAGGTGTGTCAGCATCTACACATCTGCTGTGGTTACCACCAAGCGTCTCAGAGTCCGAATGACCTCCACGGGGAGGCTGAATCGTGCTGGGATGATAAGTATTTGCAGTGTGTAGGTATGAAAGAATGTGCAGAAGAACCTGGCTCAGTTTCTAGATCTACCACTTACTAGCTCTATGATTCTGGCACTCTACCTAACTTTCTAAGTTCTCCTACTGTTAAGACAGAGATGATAGTTGTAGATTATTTTCCTCCTTATTCTTTTGAAATAGTCATAATTCTATCTATGTTACCTGGCCCCCCTTCTTCCACGAGGCTTTGTTTTCAGAGAGTGACCTCAACTCACTTGAGGGTGCTTATTGGTATAATCATGTTGTTCTTGTTTTGGGGTCAAGTGCATTATTAAGTATGAGGGGAATGGAGTTAATCTCCAGAAAGGGGAAAAACCCTGCTGGAAGCTGTCATATCTGGACGTGACATTTGGAACTACTGCAGTCATTATACAACCATGGGGGTGGTGGCTAGCATTGAGGTGTTGGAATATTATGCAACCGTAAAAAGGAATGAGTCTGTCATTTATAGCAATGTGGATGGAATTGGAGGACATTATGTTAAGGGGCAAATCAAGGACAAAGACAAATACCACAGGTTCTCACTTACTTGTGGAAACAAAACTGTTGATAGCAAAGAAATACAGAATACACTAATGGTTACCAAAGGCTGTGAAGTGTGTGGGGGAGGGAAGAATGGAGAGACGACAGTTAATGAGTATACAGGAGCAGTGGACAGGAGAAATAACTTCTCATGTTCTACAGCACAGTGAAACATGACTAAGGTTGAAGATAACTGAGTATCTCCAAATATCGAGGAGGACTGAGTGTCAACAATGCAAAAAATTGTATGTCTGAGGTGACAGGCCGGTTACACCATTTTATCATTACACATTGTATACGTGTATTGAAAACTACTGTGTACAACTACTGTGTCGATTTAAAATAAAGACAGCCATGGTGGCGCACACCTGTAATCCCAGCACTTGGGAGGCTGAGGCAGGAGGATCACTGTGAGTTCAAGACCAGCCTGGGAGAGCTACATAGTGAGTTTCGGGTCAGTCTCAACTACATAGTGAGACCCTGTCTCAAAAACAAAACAAAACAACAACAATCGCTCAATAAACAATTAGTAACAATGTGCCACCCTTTATGTGAAGTAACAAGATAGTAGGAGGAAAACCCAGTAATAAAATAAGATGGCACTGAGCGTTTCTGAAAGTTTCCCTTTCCCGGGACACCGTGCCTGCCTCTCCCCAGGGAAAATGCTTCTCCAGCAGCAGCAGCGGCAGCTCCGCGGGCGTGGGAACCGACCCGCCAGGACAGCAGCCTATCTGCCGGAGCTGGATCTCCAGCCTGGGAAGGCCACCAGCGAGGGACGGAGGGCGCCGGGCACCGGCTCCACACCGCTCGCGCTCTCACCGATGGTGTCTACGCGGTGCGTGAGGAGCAGAGTCCGGGATCCGCAGCGCGCGGCGGCTGCAGCAGCCTCGGTCCCCGCGTGTCCTCCACCAACCACCACCACATCGAAGTGCGGAGGGCCGGGCGATGCAAGGTCTCCGCTGAGCCGGGCTGACGGAAGGTGCTGTCTGGTGAGGGACGCTGCGACCCACAGGCTGCGGCCTCGGAGGGTATACATACTGGCGGAAATACCGGGCCTGCCTGCCTTGGAACTCTGCGCCGCTGAGAAGCGAAGCACCTAAACGAGAAGAAAAACGCAGGGAGGCGCGGCCATCTTTTCTGACGTCACAGCGCGGCGCACCTGCGTCCAGCGTCGCCGCTGATTGGCGGCTCGGCTCTACCTTCCGGTCTCGGGGCTTCAGGAGATTGGATGTCGAGCCTCCCGCCACTGGCTCAGGCTTGTGGTCGTGGCGCGTGCCGGGACCATACCACGCCACCCCTAACCCGCTGTGATGACCTTGTGTGCAGGTGGCCACTGGCGAACAATGTATTGCACCACTTTCCCATTTAGCCTGAATATTCTGCTACTTTACCATCTTGTCTTTAGCTTGTCTACAAAAATTAAGAATATAAAGATATAGGGAGATTGAAAGGAATTAAAATCTATTTGTGAGCCAAAGATTTGAGCTGGTTGATGAGTGGAATTGGATGGTTGGAGATTAAAAGTCCAGCCCTTTAGAATGTATATCCTTAAAGCTTTCCTCAGAGAGGAAATTTGACTGGATAGTGAAGCAAGCTGTGTGGCAATTTTATTGTTTTGAGTAAAATTGTCGATTTGTTAATTGATTAATAAATAATATTAATAATTAAAGTTATACACAATTTAAACCTTACAGAAATACAAAAACTTGTAGAGATTAAGAATCCTAAGTGGGCCAGGGATTTGGCTCAGTGGTTCTGCTGCCTGCCTTGCAAGCACAAGGGCCCGAGTTCGATCCCCAGTACCAAAAAAAAAAAAAAAAA